GTTCTCTTTTTTTATAATTTTTGAAGTACACTGAATAGTTTATACTTTCACACATTTCATTTCGAATTAGACACATTTCAAGTATTCAGTAGCCACATGTGGCTATTGGCCCAGGCAAAATTCCTCCCCTTTAGCTTCTATCCTCAGAATGATCCACTGCACTTTCTGGTGAATACATGCTGGCTGTTTTGGGGGGGTTTCTTTTTCATGGTCCATCCTCTGTCTCCAAGGTTTCTGGTCTGTCTTCCTGCACAGATGCTGATAGCCTTCAGGTCTTTTGGCTATTGGTGATTTGTTCCCACCCACTAGTATTTTGGGATTTGAAGGCTACCTTATCATTTATTATATTAGTTTTCTAGGGCTATCATAACAAAATGCCACATACTAGGGAGCTTAAACAACAGAAATTTATTCTGTCACAGCTCTAGAGGCTGCAAGTCCAAGATCAACATGTTGGCAGAGTTGGTTCATTCTGAGGCCTCTTCTCTTTGGTTTGCAAATGGCCATTTTCTTGCTCTGGCCTCAGGTACATCCCAGGTGACTCTCTGTGAGCCCTAATCTCCTGCTTATTAGGACACAACTTGTTGTCAAAACAAGTCAAAATGTTTCGGTCAATGGCATCCCAAGAGTGAGCTCCCAGAGAAGGACTTCACTAATGTAGAATCAAAATCTGGCTTATTTTTCTCTATGGCAGAGAGGAGAGAGTATTAGATTACAGACTCAAAGGGGTTATGAATTTCAGTCACAGCTCAATAGTTAACTGGCCATGAGTTCCCAGGCAACCCATTTAAGCTCCCTGCTTCTCATTTTAGTATGCATGTGTATTTACATATATTTGCACATATCTGCCTGCAATGCGGGAGATCCAGGTTCTGTCCCTGGGTTGGGAAGATCCCCTGGAGAGGGAAATGGCAACCCACTCCAGTGCTCTTGCGTGGAGAATTCCATGGACGGAAGAGCCTGGAGGACTAAGTCCATGGAGTCTCAAAGAGTTGAATACAACTGAAGCGACGAACATTTTGCTGAAGAAGCCATGCATTTTAGAACCAGACTAAAGAAAGAGAAGCTAATGAAAGAGACCATTAGAACAGAAAGAGGAAAGGATTACAAGATGCTGAAGAAGTGGGGCGCCAATAGGGAACCTCTAGAAGGTGACCCTCTAGGGAGGACTGATCTGAGGACTCGAAAGTGGCTGTTGGATTTTAGGTGTCAGGAGGCATCAGTGTGGATGAATTCCATGGACAGAGGAGTTTGGTGGGCTACAGTCCATGGGGTTGCAAAGAGTCGGACATAACTGAAGTGACTTAGCATGCACACATGCACAGGTATCAGTGATCCTAGCTAATTCACTTTAGTAAAGATGGTTGATTTGTAGAAACTTGTAAGAAAGTTCCTATGATTTGACATCTCAACTTTATGTTTGAATCATCTCTCAGAAGTAGGTTTAATCATCTCCACTACATTTCTTCTCATGTTCTCCCAACTTTTTGTTGATAGAGTTGGGGATTTTAAAAGAGAGTGAGATTAGTGTCGTACGTTCAATTTCCTCTCAAGACTTGTGAAAAGAATATGACCAGCCAATTTATAACATAGGTGCCTTTGCAAAATGTGAAATATAAGGTCATTTAGCTTATGGGCTAATTCACACAGCCCCATTTAATTCAATTCCATGGACCATTAATTTCCCATCTCTACTGACAGTAATAATGACCAAATGATATATTCAGAGTTTAAAACTAGAATCAAGCTCTGAATAGTAGAGGAATTTATCTAAAACTCTTTATAAAGTACATTAGTTAATTTTATTTAGACTCATCATATGAAAGTTGTTTGAATATTAGCTTCTATGGTATGTTTCACTAGAAAATGGGTGACCATGGGACTTGTCCTTTAGGAGGTTTTTTTTTAAAAAAACTTAAATCCTAAACCCTATTTGAAAAAGAAATTGCTGTCTTTATAACTGATTCTTCATGCTGGAGTGGTAGATGCTGTAAATTCTTTCAATGAAAACAGGATAGAATCTAGTCAACATTGTTCACAGCTATAAGTCAGAAAATACTTGTACATTACAACTTATGTTTGGAACCTTGTTCTAATCTTTTAGACCACTTTTTTGTGCTTTTAGCCTTCATGGAGAAGTCCCTTCCCCTAAAACCCTTTCCACTAAACACTGAAATTATGTAGTTGTGAAGTAAAATACTGAGCTCTAATTCTGTTTTCTCCCTTAATATGATGTATTACTGAGGTTTATTAAATCTGTCAGTTTTGAAAATGCAAAAGAACTTGTGAGCAAATGCTTAGTTGAAAATTTGCCTGGAGACTTTACATAGTATCTTTACAGAAGCATTCAAGGGTTGTCAGTTTTTGTGAAGTTAATGTTGTCTAAAGTTTGTATATAAAATACAGTCTTCCTGGCAGTAACTACTTGATAAGAGTCTTAAAGATTCTCGCAGCAATTTCAATTTAAAAATAACTTATTAGCTCTTCCTAATGCAACCTCTCACTAAAGATCCATGGAGACATAAAAAAGGTAAAAACTTGGGATGAATTTAGAAACTATCATTAGTATCTATAGTTAACCTATTAGGTAATCTGAACTGAGTTTCTGTTTATCCTAAAGGTAATGGACTGAATTTAAATTTAAATTTTAAATTTAAAACTGAAGTTACTAGCTCATTCTTGTAATGTAGTCTCTGAAAAGTTTGGGTAGAAAAACCTTTTGCTTTCTTCCTCATTGTCTTAACATCTGGTACAGAAATGCAAATCTTCTTTTACTCATTCCACTTACAGAAATTTGCCTATTATTCATATCATATAACTTCAAGTTTATTAGTAGGATAATGTTTATTGCAGCATTTTTATGACAGGGAAAAACTGGAAGCAGTGTAAATGTCCATAAGGAAGAGATTGGTTGAGTAAATTGATTCATTATATACTATATTATACACAGTAAATATTGATATAATTCTATATGCATTAAAGAAACATGTGAATACATTAAATTAAAAAGGTATGTTACAGAATATTATGTTTAGTGTGATCCCACTTATGTAAAATAATAGAAAGACTGACATTTAAATGTATATAGAAAGCACATTTTTAATGGTGGTTATTTCTGGGGACTAGAAGGAAAAAGCAATAAATGTTTTTTTATTTCTTGTTTTATACACTGTATAGTATTTTTGTTTTCTAAGAGACTTATTTTCAAAGTTAAAAAAAAAGAAAAAGATAAAGTCTCTGTGACAAATTGTTTATAAAAGTCATCCCTTCCCCTTGTCTATGCCCATGAGTCATCCCCCTCTCACATTGACACTGGGCTGGGCCATGAATTTGCTTTGGCTGATGGGACAGTACAAATATGATGCAGAAACTTGAAAAGAAAGTTGCACAACAGAGCCACCCTCTGTTTTGCTGGTCTTGGGATCCTTGCAACCACCCTCGTGTAAACAGAGGTAGCCTGTTTTATAATGAGAAACACGTGACCTGGCACCTTAGCCACCGGCCAGGCTAGACATTGAGGGGAGACCATCCACTACCAGCTGTCCACAGTTGCATGAGTGAGATAAGAGTACCATGCTGTAATCAGTGGATGATGATTATTCCTTTATGATATGAAATGCTCTCAAGATTCCATTGGCTCTATCTGTTTGATTTAGGTCATCCTCCATGTAGCAATAGCTAAACCCACAATATTTTGAGACACTCCCCTCTCTCTCCTAGACTCTGTTACAAATACCTTGAGTTTATCAGGCTTCTTTATCAAGACAGCCAAATCCTTTGATTCTTTCCCCACATCTATTTTGTCCCTTTGAAAGGATGTACTTGGGGCCACTTTCGTAAATGTTTTCACAAGCTTTCATGAAGAGGTTTTCCCCTGGGGATGAGACTGTTTAGGTGGCATTTATAGCTATCATTTCTCAGTTGGCTCTTTTACACTTAACATATTAAAAATTGTGTTTTTCAGTATTGAAAGTTCTGGAATTTGTGGATTTCCTCTTTTCCTTTTCAGCCCTGCTCGCAGCTAGTTCTTTAGTGAGTTTGTCTTCCTGATATTTTGTGAAGTGTGTCTAATAGCATACTGTTCCCTGATTTATTTGTATGAATCCACCAGTCCATTAGTCACATGATCTACTTTCCAGGTTACTGCAGCAAATGCACTTTGCCTCTGTGTTACATGTTAGCCTTCAGTGACAGTTTCCTGTAGTCCCATCCCAGTGCTGGCGTCCCAAACATATATCTTCGGCAGTAACCCAGCCCTGGTTCTGGTTTCCTTTTTAGCAGCTTTTCCTAAATAAGGCTGCTGTAATAACTCCAAAATTTTAGTACCTCACTAGGGATTTATTTCTGACTGTCATGTTAGCTACAAGTTGTCTGCAGTTCTGAGGCCCCATTAAATGTGTTTGACTCTGTGTTCCAGGCTGAGGAACAGCCTTATCTTGGTCTCAGTTCAGAGAGAAAAGTAAAAATGCTGAACCATGTAATAATACATCTTCTATCTTCTCAGACATGTTGTAGATAACTTGCATTTCATTGGCCAAAGCAAGTTATATAACCAAACCCAAGGACAAGGATATATAGTTTCACTTTTGGGAGGGGCGGGAACAGTTGAGAACAACCATACCACCTGCATATCCACTTCTAGATTTATTCCCTAGAGTAAGTGTCTTTCCAAGTGCTAAGTTCTTAGCTGAAGACAAACATGGACGTTAACAGTATATAAGATCATCCAAGGAGAGGGGAGCTAGAGCTGGAAACCCCATGGGAGAAGATGTTCAGAGGAGATGAAGAATGAACTGTCAGAGGCAGGAAAGAGAAACAGGAAAGAACATGTCCTGGACCCCCGCAATACAACTGTTTTTGCTCTAAAAATTGTAACTTTTAAAAATAAATAAGCCTGAATGCAAAATGCTTTAAATCTGTCTATTTTGTATCATCACAAGACTTAATTTCCAAGGAGCATATGAGTTTTAAAATTAATAGATGTTTACTTGTCATTACAGAGATTTGCCACAATATGGACAGAAGCAGTGGCAGTCCTATTTTGGAAGAACTTTTGATGTTTACACCAAACTGTGGAAATTCCAGCAGCAGCATCGGTAAAGGATTTTTAAAGTTTTATGTTAGTCACAGTTTTGACCTTTACTACCTCAGTGCTTTTTATCTTTTCGTATCTCATTTCATCTTTGTGACCAAAAGAAAATAAATTGATTTTTTCCCTATTTATTTAAATTTTCCAAGTGTAATAGTATCTGATTTTTAAAGACAATATCATATCTGAAATGATTCAGATTAAGTAGGTAGGCAGATTCATGATGTCATTCTGAAATAGGTATTGTTTATTGGCCAAAGCCATTTGGGGGAGGGGGTTGCTTCTAATTTCTATGAACGTAGCTCAGAGAAGTTTATTTTTGTATTTCAGCATACTCTAAATAGACAGTTTATAAATGGTTTTTGAATTTGAGTGCTTATGTTGAAATCTCATGAAAAATTCATGAATTTCAATTTATGTACTCAAAATTTCATGATGAATTGGGTGATACTTTATCCTGTGAAATTAACAGATTTGGTTATTTTTGAAATTTATAGTCTCTCATTTCTATTTTCTTATCTCCTATGTAAAACAGACAAGTCTTGGATAATCGGTATGGCTTGAAGCGGTGGCAAATAGGGGAAATTGCTTCTAAGATTGGGCAGCTATACTACCATTATTAGTAAGTGAACTGCAAATGGGAAAAATAAAGCTTTCTCCTGATTTAAACACAGCATGCAGAAATATGCATCGATACATATCTGGTAGGAGGGAAAGTGGATGAATTACACTTGAAATTCTAATAGTTCAAATCATCTTGATTAAGACAGCATTTTAAAGTGACCTTCCATAATGAAAGTGACATTATTTGCTTCAAAGGCTCACCTTCCAAACAGTTCATTTGGTCAGATTCATTTGTAAACTTAAAGGAGTATGATCCTTGGTTTTAGATAAGAAAAATACTAAATGAATGTATGGTTCTTAATGGCTTCACTTGAATCTTGATCCCTTACAGAGACATAACATAACTGGTATGTTTGTTTGAATGAGTGGTTTTCAGGAGGATACTTTAAAACCAATCCTTGTATGCTATGTCTGAAAGGATATGTGAAATCAATAAAGATACTTTTGACTACTATAGTCCCACCCATGAGTCAATGAAAGAAGAGAGCTCCATTTAGTATCCAAACATTGCATTATCATTAAGTGGTATCAGGCGTTTCATAAAAAGGCTTAGACCGTTTGTAGTTTAGTGGACCAGAAAATTCTTTCCTCTCCCTGTCTTTTGGCATGCCACCCAGATTCCCACCATTAAAATTACTTTTCCTGGTAGATAAGCGGTATCAGGCGTTTCATAAAAAGGCTTAGACCGTTTGTAGTTTAGTGGACCAGAAAATTCTTTCCTCTCCCTGTCTTTTGGCATGCCACCCAGATTCCCACCATTAAAATTACTTTTCCTGGTAGAATGTTTTCTTAAGAAATCCCTTGTAAAACTAGCAATGTTATTGTATGTAACTGTGTGCTACCCTTTGCGCCCCCATGGACAATAGCCCGCCAGGATCCTCTGTTCATGGAGATTCTCCAGGCAAGAAGCTAGAGTGGGTTGCCATGCCCTCCTCTAGAGGATCTCCCCAACCCAGGGAATCGAACCCAGGTCTCCCCCATTGCAGATGGATTGTTTACTTTCTGAGCCACCAGGGAAACCCAAGAATACTGGATTTGGGTAGCCATGCCTTCTGCAGTGGATCTTCCCGACCCAGGAATTGAACTGGGGTCTCCTGCATTGAAGGCGGATTCTTTACCAGCTGAGCTACCAACTATACTTCAATTAAAAGAACAAACTAGAAATGTTGAATAGAAAATCCAACTTATCAGCATCCTATGAAGATTAATATGGATCAGGGTCCATTTCTCAGTCCTCTGGTCCCAGGCCTTTAATCCCAGGAAAGATTTAACTGAGTAGAATGCTGTTTGGCGAGGCCCTTTGAAGAATAAGAATAATGTGTACTTTTAGTTGCTGTCAAAAAAGGCTTGGGAGCAGAGGGGAGGTATTTTTTTAAAAATTATTATTATTCTTTTCATATCACCTTTTAAGGGTGATTATTGCTTTGGTGATTCAAATCTAGCGTAGTCGTTCCCATCCCTTCCAGTAAAGGAAGAAAGGAGTAACAAAACAAGTATTTATCATGGTGAAGAGTCTGAGACACTGTCATACTTAAGATTTTCTTTCTCTCTCATAGCCTACGCACATCTGAGACCAGCTATCTGAATGAGGCTTTCTCCTTCTATTCTGCAATCAGACAGAGATCTTACTATTCTCAAGTCAATAAAGAGGACAGGTATGCACCTACTGTTTTTAGAGAGAGGAAGATAAAGCACTAAAACTTTTTAGTGTGTGGAAATTAGGCAGAAAAGCACACATTTGTTTATAACTTTTATTCATTTAATGGGCTTTATTGAGTGCCTGCTATATATGAGGCCTTCTTAAGCATACCTAGGTGTGTTACCTAAAAGCAGTAAATATCATGGATGTTTTGACAGATGTCACAATACCGGGGTAGGGTCAGAGCCCAAAGAAGGGTGGGTTATTTCGTTATGAGAGATTGGGGTCACATGAAGTTTCATAGAAAAGAAACAGCTCCAAAATGAGGCTTAGCTGATACCTTTGTTCTGTAGCCTATATCATCTTAGTTTGTATACATTCAAAACCTGTTGGAAACTGCCATGTAGGGACTAAAGAAAAGTGTATAATGCTGTTTGATTTTTCTTTTATAAATCCAATACCATTTTGCAGTCATGTAGCTTCACTGTTATGGAAAAAAAATCATGTTAAAGTTATTCATCCCCACTTACTATGTGTCTGGCTTGGGTGGGAGAAGAAAATGAAAAGAAGCTGGACAAGTATCTCTTTTCTTTTTAGATGATTACCTTTTCATGGGAGTCTCAGACACATTTGGGGTACAGGTAGATTCAAATGAGGATAGAGTTGTTGAAGAAATCAGGAATCTGCTGGAGAATCTTTGTTGCTAGGATTCAAGAATTGTTGAAAGATCTGAATATTCTCCCTACTCCCAGTAATGGAACTCACAGTCATTATCTAAGTGAAAAGATTATATTCTGTTAGAAAAAGAATAAAATGTAGTTTTCACGTTTTTCTAGAGAATACTTTGTGGTTGGCTGTCATAAGCTTTCCAGCTAAATAGCAACATTTTGGGGAAAGCCCCACTCTGGTAAATCCCCTTCATTCCCTTGCAAATCTTGTTCAGACTTGTCTGGAGAAATTTGCTTGAAACAAGGTATGTAGACGCTGAATTCTACATTTTTCCCCAAGGTCTTTCTTGCTTCATGAAGTTGCATCAGTTACTTTTCTTTCAGAATTTTTTATGGCTTGCTTCACGTATTTTCACTACAGATATATTTCTTCCAACTCCCTTTTTTTTTTGCATTCACGTTGTATAATTTCTCTGAATTCTTGGTGAGGTAAATTATCTCTCAAAAATACAGAAGGGGTATGTAAAACTTTATTGACTGAAAAATACATATAAGCAAAGATCTATTTTAAGCAGTAGTAAAATACCTTGTAAAATTCGCTTTTATGCATTTTCTAATTTGACACAAGGGAAACTGGCCTTAGGTCCCTTGGCCTCAAACCCAACAGTCTGACTTAATGAAGTCACTTTCTGCCCTGAGAGCAAGCCAGCCCGTCTGACTGGTCTCCCTGTGCTGCCTCCTGGAGCGGGGCAAGCGAACAGAGCTAGAATTATTTGGAACCAGGACGATGAAACCTCTTAGGCTTAGAATCAAACTAACTTAGAATCAAAGGACACCTCAGTATATAAAATCTTGATTTTGTTCCCTGCACCGGAGGAAGGAGTTTGTTCAGTTGGTAAAATTGGTTGTTTCTTAGTTCACACAGGGCTAGGGGGCCATCAAGGTAGCAGTTGGTGACAGCTGCTAAAACCAGCAGCTGGTAGATTAAAACTAAGTAAGAAAGTATTACACAATTTCACAGTTGCTTTAAGAGGCATCTCTCCTCCAGAGGTCAAGTTCTCCCTGCATTGTCTTAGTACCGAAGGAATATGTCAAAACCAGGAGGAGTGGTACGTTCCAACGATCCCCAAGGTGACTGCCTGTCACCAAATACAAACAGCTCTCAGAATGTCTCAGTTCCATGGCCTGTCCTGTTGAGTGGAGGAGACGTTCACAAATAATCACTTTTCCAAGCTGTAAGCCCCAGGTGGTTATGAAGGACGAAGGCTGAACCTGGTTAGAGTTAAGATACGGAGAAGGTGAAGTTTCTGAGCGCACAGAGGCTGGAGGGAGACATTGCAGTCAGCCACCTCGAAAAACAGTTTCTCAGGCAGATGTGTCAAGAGTCGGCATCTTACAATTAGTGGTCCTGGCATGTTGGACAAGGCTGCAGTTCCAGCATGCCAAAAGGACTTTGTCAGAGAGAATCTTGATGGCCCCTGTGGTGGTGACAGAACTGGAGTTTTGTTTGATGGTGGAAAATGTGGATCTGAACTTGAAAACCTGGCCACCTCCCAGTCTTGATGCTTATGAGGAGGACTTGATGTGGACCCTTCCCAGTGAGATTCACAGGAGGACTTCTTCTGCAGGAGGCAGAAGGCTGGGGGCCGTCATTCAGGTTTTCAGGCTTGATAGGATCGCCTCTCAAGTTTATTGAGTGGATGACCTCGTATTTTCCTGCCTACTGTCTTCTCATCTTCCTATTTATAGTCCTAATATAAACATTACTCTCTCTGGGAAGCCTTCTCTCACCAAGATCTAGTCCTATGGACTCAAATAGCATGTTTTGTTTCTCTTATTGATGCTGCCAAAATCTTGACTTTCTCTGCCCTCTGAAGCCAAATTAAAAAAATATGGAGACAGAGTTTGGAGGAAATAGAAAGGTGGCTTAAAATCCTCAGCCAGCCTAGGGGAGAACACAATAGGCTTCTGCCTCAAGAACTGTGTCGTCCCCCCACCCCATGAAGAATCTGGGGCAGAAAAGCAAATTTAGTTACAGGCTGCAGATTCAGTTCAGTTCAGTTCAGCCGCTCAGTCGTGTCCAACTCTTGGCTGCAGATTAGGAACGGTTTAAATAAAAACTAGGTGTGACCAGGCCTGCTCCCTCTTCTCTTCTTTGTTTTCAGGAAAGAAAAGAAAAACTCATTCCTCTTCTTTTCCTTTTCACTGCAACACTGTCATTGTAATATTTATTCCACTGTTTTAAGTATTTATCTGTCTCCTCTATATTTTACATATGTTTCTGTCTATAAGATCTGTGAGGAAGGGACTATGTCTATAGTTTCTTTTTTTAGTAATTTTAATCTACTATTTAGCATAGTACTTGGTGCATCTAAGTTTCAGTAGATAGTTGTTGAATAAAATAATGTATGAATGAATAATATAATGAATCACTGAGTAAAAAATGTATTAAAAAACTATAGATTATATGAAATAGTGTTTATAACTGTGCAAAATAGGATCAAAAGAGTTTAAAAGCTATCAGAAAGTTAGAAAAATCAAGTCACATAATTTTGTTTTTAATCTAATGAATAATTTTCCACTTATCTACCATAGACCTGAGTTGGTAGTTAAGAAGCTACGATACTATGCAAGATTTATAGTAGTTTGTCTTCTTCTCAACAAAATGGATGTTGTGAAGGATCTGGTAAAGGTAAATGTATTTTAATTAAAATCCTGATTTCTAGTTATTTGTTGGTAATTTTGTTTTTTAAAATAGATAAGGTTAAAATAATTTTGTTAATCTAAATTATTACAACTTTCAGAGCATGCCAACTTCTGACAAGGGTAATGATAAAAAATTTTTCCCAGTCTCTTCATGTTTCAAACATACTTACGAGAGATAATTGTATTAATTTCTTGCTTTTGTCCCCTCAGCTCATTTTATATTTCATCACTCATTTATGAGTGGTTGGCAAATGCAAACAAAAGTTTAGTTTAAGATAAAATAATTGAAAAATTGGGTTAAGAACGAGTACAGAATGTTTTATAAAGGTGTTGTATGAATGAGTTTTGGTTATTCCTTATTTTAGTATGTCTTCTTTATTCTGTCCTTCATTAATTCAGGTAATCAGAGTTAACTGCTTTCTAGATTCACTTAATATATGTAATTGTTCCTTGCTACATTCTGGTTACACTCTATTCAGTTAGTGATTTCAGTGGCATACATCTTGATTTTTTTGGTGCTTAAGTATAACATGCTAGTTTTTTTTTTAATTGAAGTGCAGTTGATTTATAGTATTGTCTTATTTTCAGGTGTAAAGCAGAGGGATTCAGTATAACATGCTAGTGTTTTGGTTTTTTTTTTAAATGAAGTATAGTTAATTTACTGTATTGTGTTAGCTTCAGGTATCTAGCAAAGTGATTCAGTATAACGTGCTAGTTTTGACAAACTTTCTTCCTCTATCCCCAGTTACTAATAGGACTGTTTCCAAAAGAAACAGTATGATATCAATCCAAAGAATTTATGTTCATTTTTTTAATGTTAAAAATTGGGGGGTTTACCTCTAAGAGTTTCTTTTTAATAAAGTCATTGCTGATTAGCACTGAGCAGTGTGTGTCACTAGGTCTCTATGAAGATCTTATTGATGTGTATCATTTTGGAATTTTTGATTTTGAAGCAAGTTCACTCTTTGTTTTGGTTGTAATTGGTACTGTATATTGATAATAATCAAACTTCTTAACTATAACAGTTTCCATCAGGATTATAGTACAATATAGCCATCTATTTTAAGTTTTTTTTTTCTGTAACCATTTTTCCTTTGTGATAACTGTGAAATCAGGAACTGTCAGATGAAATTGAAGATTATACTCACCGCTTTAATACTGAAGATCAAGTGGAATGGAACCTGGTACTTCAAGAAGTAGCAGCTTTCATTGAGGTCAGTTATTGACAAGAAAGTTTGTCATAATTATATAAGTAAATGCATATGTGGTGTACATGTTTATTATGTGTATATGTAAAAAAGAAGGAATAATTTCTTACATTGATGTTTTGTCTTGGCTATAAACCACTTACAGTTTTGCTTGTTCTCCAGGCGGACCCTGTAATGGTATTAAATGATGATAATACCATTGTTATCACATCTAATCGCCTTGCTGAAACGGGAGCCCCATTGCTGGAACAAGGCATGATTGTGGGACAGTTGTCTCTGGCTGATGCACTCATTATTGGTAATTGTAATAACCAGGTAAAGAATTGTGAAGAAATTATGCTTAAAATTTACCTTAAAAATTAGCACTTTGGATTGTTACAGAATTATGATTTCCTTGTAAATATCCTAACATCCATTCAATCCCTGGTTGGAGATCTTAATCCCAAAAGCCCACCCAAACCCTCCAAAAATTAAAACCTTGCCTACATAAAGTTCTACAGAAGTACTATTTAACATGAAAAAGGATACAGTTTTTTTGTTTGTTTGTTTTTGTTTTGTTGCCATGCCATGTGGCTTGTGAGAATCTTAGTTCTCCAAATAATGACTGAAATCAGGGCCTTGGCTCTGAGAGCTCTGAGACCTAAACATTGGACTGCCAGGGGATTTCCAGGATACAGACTTAAACATCATGTAGTACCAAAATGTAATAAAGTGATTTTAAAATGGGCCATGGTTGTACTTCAGCCTCACTGTTTTACCAACAGCCAGCATGTTTTATGGGATATACTATAGGTCTCTGTGTTTACATGATTGCTTTTTAAAAGAAAAAAAAAAAAACCTGCCTGTGGAGGGACTTCCCTGCTGGTCCAAGTGGTTAAGATCTGCACTTCCACTTCAATACCTGGTTGGGAAAGATCCCTCAGGCAGTGTGGTATGCCAAAACAAAACAAAATAAAACAAAACTGGAAATTGATGGATTAATAGAGAGGGCAAGATGTTACAAAGCAAATATAAAGAAATGTTAACGTTATAGAATCTGGCTATTGAGCATTTGGGTGTCACTGTATAGTTTTTTTCAACTTTCTATCTTTTAAATTTTTTCATAATAAAATGCTGGAGAATAAAATATCCTGTGTCATCAGGTACATATGAAAGTCAAAAGTAACAATGTGATTAAGCACTTTAAGGTCTCTGTACTACATTAATGGTCAGACTTGTTTTCCTTGCAGGTTAAGTTCAGTGAACTAACTGTTGACATGTTCCGGATGTTACAAGCCCTGGAAAGGGAGCCAATGAATTTAGCTTCCCAGATGAATAAACCAGGAATGCAGGTGATTTTTCTCCCTACTTTTGCAGTTTGCTGCTTCTGCTCCTCATGAAATGCTATTATTCAGCAAATGCCACGAGTGTGAATAAAGAACTCTGATGAGACACAGGAGAGAAAGATAAGCATAATGACAGTCTTAAAAAAAGATATTTGATAAAGAGGATGGTAAAAATAGACATTGATAATCCATGCGTCAAGTGCGTTTTGTATAGCCATTCCTCTGTATCCATGAGGCGTTGGTTCTAGGAACCCTCTGGATACCAAAACTTTCAGATGTTTCAAGATGTTCAGATGTTCAAGCATATAAAGTTTTTGCATAATGTTTATATATAACCTATACACATCCTCCCATATTCGTTGAATCATCTCTAGATTACTTGTAACATCTAACAGAATGTAAATTACATGTAAATAGCTGTAAATACAATGTAAATGTTATGTATATAGTTGCTGGTGCACAGCAAATTTAAGTTTTGATTTTTGGAACTTCCTGGAAAATTGTTTTCAAATATTTTTGATCTGTGGTGGGGTGAATCCATGGATGCGGAACCTATGGATGCAGAGAACCAACTGTGTTTGCATTGTTTTCTGTGTGTAAATATAGGAATCAGCTGACAAGCCTACCAGGCGAGAAAACCCCCACAAGTATCTGCTCTACAAACCAACCTTCAGCCAACTATACACTTTCTTAGCAGCATCTTTTAAGGTATATATCATCCAGTACTTCTTACTATGTAAGGGGAAAATATGGCATAAATGGAATCTGAGAGTCACTCTTCTCTTGAATATTTGAGTCAAGAATTTAGGAAAAATATGAAAATGAAAACTGCCTTTAGAATATCCTAATCATAGCTATTTTTGGAGTAGAAATTGCATATGACATCAGGAATGATCCCTACCATTAATTAATGAGAATATTGATGAATTATCATCCTACTTCATCTGCATTTTTCTTACTCGGCTGCTTTAGGCTTAACAGTCAATGCAGAACTGAAAAGCAGGAGCAGATTGTGTAGGTGTGTTCCAAATTCAGGCTACTCTGGGAAACATTTTGGTCATCTGAAAGAACCACGGAGTAGGGGATTCCTCTCAGTCTGTATAGAGAAAGGCACAGACAGAATCTTGTCTTTTAGACCTGTAGTCAAGATCTTTATGTCTCCGTTTTAAGTTTTTCAAACATTCTTTAAATGATGAGGTTTTTGAAGCAGAGAATATCTTCAAAACTTTGGGCTGTAGTTGTAGATTAATAATGAATCTCTGCTTTGTAGACAGTTATTTCTTGGAAATAACAAGAATGATTTTTCTCTTGAAGAAGACCATAATATGTTAAATTAGGTCCTCGTTTTCCCCACAGCTTGATTATGTGTTTATTTTTGGCTGTGCTGTGTCTTTGTTGTTGCACGGACTTTTCTCCACTTGCAGTGAGCAGGGGCTTCTGTGTAGTTGTGGTGCCTGGGCTTCTCATTGCGGTGACCTTTCTTCTCGCGGAGCACAGGCTCTAGAGGGCACGGGCCCAGTAGTTATGGTTAGAGGGACAAGTGGCGTTCAGCCACCCGAGATTGAGCAATAACAGGTCTGTGATGCTCTTAGATGTCCGGAGCTGCACACGCGCTACACTGACTGGCTCATCGTGTGCCTACCCTATGCCGGCAGGCGTGGGTAACCCATTGAACCCCATTCGTGATAGGGATTGGGGATTGCAATTATTCCCCATGAGCGAGGAACTCCCAGTAAGTGCAGGTCGTAAGCTTACGTTGATTAAGTCCCTGCCCTTTGTACACACCGCCTGTGGCTACTACCAATTGGATGGTTTAGTAAGCTCCCAGACTTAGTTGCACGTGGAATCTTCCCAAACCAGGGATCAAACCCGTGTCTCTTGCATTGACAGGTGGATTCTTTACCTGTGAGCCTCTAGGGAAGCCCTCCTCACAACTTTAAAATGTCACGAACTTTCAGTGAAACTGTTGTTTTCTCTTTGTTGTTTTGTATGTGTGATTTCTTTCATTTCAGGAGCTGCCTGCCAATAGCGTGCTTCTGATTTACCTGTCAGCCACTGGCGTTTTCCCCACAGGTCGTTCTGATAGTGAAGGTACAATAAAGGAATGCTCCCTGTTGTGAGCAGGGCTTGAATTCTCTTTATTTTCTACAAGGTGATGGCCCATAGCCCACGAACCGTCTCACGCTTTCTAGAGAGGCTCCTAAATTTGAAACTTGGTCTATTTGCTGAATTGGCAGTCTTATAGATACCTATTTTATTTGCTGAAGTCTTATACAGTGAAGTAAAAAAAATCAGTAAATTCACATACTGCATACATACATCGCTAACAAATTTGCTAAAAGCAAACATATATATATATTATACAGGGACTAACCAATTATTGCTTCACATCATTGAATTTTTATGAGCCTTTTGTGCGTTAGAGAATCTGGTCAGCGGCTTCACTGTGGCTGAAAGTCTTGTAGAAATCAGTGCACTTTTGTAACTGTGAAAGTTCAAGTCCTTGACACGATTTTGTTTTGTGTCCTTTCTTTGGTCTTACCAATTCAATCTGTAGAATATTGGGATGCTATTTCAGAATAAAACCGTGAAATGGTACAGAACATATGAGTTTAGAATATATGAAATTGGTCGAAAATGATGAGTAACTTGAAAGTAAACAAGGCGGTTAAATCTTTATCTGGACAGAAATTCTTTTCTGAACATCCTTAGCATTTTCCTCCTCATTTGTTTGTTGAAATTTGCATTCCTTTATACAATGCATGTCCCTGCCATCTTCCTTGCATGACCTACAGATCCTCTTAAAGTGTTAAAATGAAAACAAAACAAAATAAATCTCAATCTTTTCACTGCGGTAGCTTTTTAAGGGATAAAGCATAACATTAATATTAAAAGCGTTGCAAAATCATGAAATAATTTTTTGGTAATAAAGTTAGTGATTTTGTTTGTAAATAATTATTTCCATGTCTTATAACATGCTATTAAATCAAATATTCTGCACCCCCACCTAACATGTTGATATCTCTTGTTTTACTTTTTTCAAAGTACAGTAGGTACTAATGGAATGGGCCTTTGAGAGAGACTATTTCTCACATCTCATAGTTGCTGTTCCATTTACACAAGAGTTTGACTAACTGATAGTGCCAGTGGGAAAAGGCTAATTCCCAAACTGGAATTGCAGTGGTTGATAAAATAGTCATGATAATGGAGTTTTCCCCTACACTGATATTTGGCAGTTCTTTTCTTACATGAAGTTTTTGTCAATGAGAACTTTCAAGTCCTATTCAAAGATTTCCCTACGTTTTACAATTAGTGACTCACTTAAATTTAAGAAATCATTGAACCTGGCTGTCCCACACTGCAGGCAGTCTTTACTGTCTGAGCCACCGGGGAAGCCCTGCAGTTACATTTTAAAAAACCATTAGGGCTTCTTTCTGCAGCTCTCTTATCTATGTAATTTTATTTGTTGAACTTTAGATTTTAATTTTGCTTGAAATGAAAAGATCATTTTGAACATCCCAGATCTCCATCCCCTTTTTTTTTTTAACCCAGAATAATGGGATACAGTAGATTTTTGTTTTGTTTCTCATTATTATCTGAAGAACTAATGACAATGATCTTTTAAAATGCTGAAACAGGCAACATGCTGAAATATTGAAATTCTGTGTTAAACTGAAGTGTTAAATTTTAAGTTAATAAAAATGTTTTTTTAATTATCTTCCACTTGTATCAGTGAGAGATTCACCCGGTACCTTTGTACCTTTGTACATCATATTAATGTTACTCTCCAACTGAAGTCTAGGATTCTTCCCTTCTGTTTTTATAGGTCCTTATGATTTTGGAGGGGTACTTACTAATAGTAACCGAGATATTATAAATGGAGATGCCATCCACAAACGAAATCAGTCCCACAAAGAAATGCATTGGTATGTATTCTGGTGTCTTTCCCTATTATAAAAATTAAAGTTATACCTTATAATATGTTAAGTGAAGTGGGGACTGTTTTATAGTACTAGAAATGTCCCCTCAGACAACTGTTCACAACACTTATATGGATTCCAGCAATATTTCAGGCTCTGACTATCTTAGGCATTTAGAATTGTTGGCTTATATTTAAAAAAATTTTTATTGAGTATCTGTTATATGTCAGGCACCATTAAGTCACTGGAGATCTGTTCATTCAAGTTGGAGGAGGTAATAAATATGTATATAAATAATAACTCAGGACATGATGCATGTTAATATCAACATAAACATTTTAATATAAGGTTCTATTGGTATAATACAGCAAAACTGAAGTTAGCTGTATGATTTCAGGTAAATTTCATCCATGAAAGTTTACTCAACACATTCACTGCTTGTTCTGTTATTGGCTGTAGGATTTCTCTAGCTGAGAGATAGCAATTTTATTATAGAGGAAACTGGACTTGCTTGAAACTGCATTTCTAATAACACTTTACATAAAAACAGAGCTCCTCAAATTAAAGAGTGGCTAAGGAAGGGTAGAGAAGGAAATGTTTCAATTATTATACGTGTAATAGTGAAAGATTCCCCAAGCCATATGTTGGTGCTATAGTTGACCTTACTTGTAAGTGATTTATATTAGAAAAACCTGTATTTGAGATATATTGGGGTTTGATGATACTGCTCATTGACACATCATTTTGTATATTTACATTTACATTAATATTTATACATGCATTGTCCACTAACCCTGGGAAAGAGCATGCACACCAATATTGTGATCTTAAGAAGTGACCCTCAAATGCATGTCACTGGACTTTGGGTCTAGTAGTTCTTCCGTGGACCAGTGAATTTGTATCTATAACAAGCACCCCAGCTGATTCCGATGCAAATGTCCAGAGGAAATGCAGGCAATAATAAGAGGGGAGCCCTCACTTACCGTCTGCAAAATTGAGATATAGCTAAAAATAGCAGTCCCCAACCTTTTCGGCACTAGGGACAGGTTTTGTGGAAGACAGTTGTTCCATGGTGCGGGGTGGAGGAGATGGTTTTTGGATGATTCAAGCGTATTACTTGCATTGTGCACTTTATTTCTATTATTATTATATCAACTCCAGCTCAGATCATTAGGCATTAGATCCCAGAGTTTGGGGACCCATGGCTTAAAACATTAAAAATATTAAAATTGGATATGGATTTTGAAAGACTCATTGAAATAGAAATTTGGTTGTGTTATTGCATTTTCTCTTCAGTACCTGTTCTTAGGAGGAACTTTTTAAAATACTAGATAAGTTCCTAAATGCTGACTTCTGAGATTTTCATGTGTGTTTAATCCATCTTTAAATATATAGATTTCTCTTTAGCTTGAATATTCTCTTTTAAAAATATTTATTATTCATTTGGCTGTGTCAGGTCTTCGTTGCAGCATGCAGAAGCTTTCATTGTGAGATGTAGGCGTCTCTCTGGTTATGGCTCGTGGGCTCTAATGGGCAGGCTCAGTGGTTGAAGCACAACCGTGGCATGTGGGATCTTAGTTCTCTGACCAGGGGTCAAAGCCACGTCCTCTGCATTGGAAGGTGAATTCTTAACCACTGGACCAGCAGGGAAGTCCCTAGCTTGAATATTCTTGAATAATAATTATGTCTTGTTTTTTTTTTTTTCTCCCAAATAAAACTGCTCACTTGTCTACCCCAATAAATACAGACTTTATTGGTCTTCTACTTAATTAACTTTTGTTTTTCTCTCAGTGCTGTGATGAAAAAGAGATGTGAGTAGACCAAACTGAAGAATAAGATATCTGAGGCTCGGCTGATAGAGTTATACAGTCATTCATTGTTACCATCGTTGTTGTTTTTCCAGCCTCCATCCTGGAGATCTCTACCCCTTCACAAGGAAGCCGCTGTTCATCATTGTGGATTCGTCCAACAGTGTTGCTTACAAGGTAAGTTCCGCACACTCCATCGCACGTTAGACGCTACGGCACCACCCCGAGGTAACCAGCCTGAACATGTGCCTTTTTATTTTGCTTTATGTTATTTAATTTTACACAATTTGTATTTAGTCTTTCTTTTCTTTTGAGGTTGTGCATGCTAGTCAGGATCTGGTGCTATGACTAGAAACAAGAAGAAAACGCATGAATGGACACTCAGTGGAAAATAATAAATCCTCCTGCAGGAAAAAAATATTCAAGATTTCCAAGATCTCTGGTGGGAGGTTTATTTTTGTTATATAACGCAGAATAATTTTCTTTTATAGAGGTGGAACTATATGGGCAAATTTTCTTTTCCAGTTTTCATACCTTTTCCCCTCTACACACTGAGCTACTATATTTTAAGTGAAATTTCTATCCAGTGTTATGTAGTTACAGTCATTGAATATCTACACAAATTGTTTTAGATGCACTTAATTTTTTTTTTTTTTAATTTGTGACAGTAAGTGAAAAATGATGACCCTCGATGCTGAAATAAGTAGCAGGGACCGAATGTGAAAATTTCCTTGTTTTGTATTTTGCTCTTGAAACAGGTTTTCAATGGCTATGTAAAGAATGGCAGCAGCAAGACCCTTTAAAGTTGGATGTTATAATTCAAACTATAGTAATTTACAGGAAAATGAAAACAAGAGTTTTTGGAGTCCTTTGTATGTAGTTGGAATATTTCATTAGTGGTCAGTATGTTCAGAAATATGCTAGAAACACTGATCTGCCAATTAAAGTTATTTCTTTTGTAGGTGTTCATATAAATAAATGGAGAAGCAAACATTAATAGGTTTATATGAGAAAAGCAATAGAAATGTCTGCTAGCAAAGAAAGCTGACCCCATTTATATGTTTTCCATCTAATTTTCATGCTTAGTTTCACTTTTTTAAGTCTGAATTTCAGGAGCATCCAATCCACCCTAAATTGTTCAGGATGTTTCCTGCTACCCATTTTGTCCAGTTTAACATTATAGCTTTTGATTTTTAGGAAAATTAGCTATGTACTTTCTTAAATCGTGTGTGTGCTGTTGTAATTTTTTTATCCTTTTGAGAGAGTGGTAAACTGCTAAAGGAAAAGGTTTATTCGCTTCTCCAATTAAACATATAAGCCAGAGGAGTCCAGGCATTTTGTGTCTTCACAGTGTTCAAAAAAAGTGTTCTGTGTCTTTGTCAATGAAAAGGAGTCATTTGCTTCAGTTTAATGATGTAACAGAGTATGTTGATGCACCAGATCAAGTGAATTGCTTACTATGATCTAGTGTGCATTTAAAGTATTTTAGCAGTCTGTTAATTTCTACTTAATTTAATTGGACATTATTTGATACCATCTTTTAAATCTCAAGAATATCATTCATGTTATATACTTGTTCTTTCCAGTGTCATTTGGATGTAGAATGAGTATTGGATGTTGATTGTTAAAAAATACCACTGTGCATAATTGGAATTATATATCATGATATAATTCTAGATTTCTATATCCTGAGCCCCAGGATAACCTTGGAATAATGGAAAGATTTTTATGTTTGTTTGGTGTTGATGGCACAGGCACTATTACTCCTCTAAAAAATTAAATTATCAAGAACAAACTGATCATTAGAAATGAAATGGGGAGCCCATATGCAGTGGGCAAATCAGAGGCTTAACCAATGAACTGCCAGGAAAGTCCTGTACAATGGTTTTAACAGCTAAGCCACACAGTAAAGTTTTTCTTTCCTGTGCAACTTTCTACTTTGCCTGGAGCAAATAATATTATCTTTGCTCCTTGTTTGTTTTTTTTTTCCCCCTGAACTTATCACAGATTCAACCCCAAGCTCCTCACCAGTCCTCTAATCTTTCCGGTTGTTCAGATATACCATTTTATCTCTGGGACAAATTATCTCCCAGAGCCTCTGAACTAGTGCCCTCTACACCTACTACACAGCTCTCATCCCAGAATCTCTTTTTATTATTATTCTGGGAATTCTGTATCTCTCTTTTATATTGGATCCCCTGTTTCCTGAATCCCCTGTCTTCTTCTTGGACACTCTGTTACTGTCTCATTTGGTTTATTCTTTCATTTTGGTGCAGCATCTCTAGCAAAATCGAGCCTTCTGGGAAAGGATGAATATGAGATAAAACAATTGAAGTCTCACACTTCTGCAAATGTCTTTGATTAACCCTCACACCTGAACGATGGTTTTGGTGTCAGAAGTTATTTCCCTTCAGAATTTGGGAAACATTGTTGCATTGCTTTCTATCTTCAATATTTCTAGTATTTCTTTCTTTTTTTTTTTCCCTAGTATTTCTTAAGAAGTACAAAACATTCTAATTCTGGATCTTTCATATGACCTTTGTTCAGTCCCTGGAAACGTATAGGCTCTTATCTTTGTCACTAGTGTTTTCAACTTCTTAACAGAGTGCCCTGGTCTGGCTTTACTTTTAACTATGGTACTTGGCCTGTACTTCGTACATGTACTTTCAGTCTGGAAACTCTGCCCGTTTTCTTGAATTTTTTCAGTGATTTCCTCCCCTCTGTTTTCTTCTTTTGAGAATTTTTGTCATTCAAGTATTGGACCTTCTGGTCTAGTCCTCAGATTTTTTTTGCCTTTTATTTTCCATCTTCTAGTCTTTTGCTCATTAGGAAATTCCTTTGCCTTTATCTTCTAAACCTTTTATTGAGCTTTTCATTTGTTTTCTGGATGTTTCTTTCATAAAGACATGGATGGGTGTGTGTAAGACATATGTACGTGCACATATGTAATTGGTTTTTATCCTGGTTGAAATATGCTGTCTTTCCTTTGAGAATGTCAAGGATCATTTTAAAACTTCTCTCTGCATGGCATCTCTCTCCTCCATTATGATTTGCTTCTAGTGCTTTTCCTGCATGTTTCATTTTAGAGACTCATAATTTTTGCTTTTCTGATCAGATTTAATAATGGAAGCTAGCACAATGGTTGGAATCTCTGGGGTTGTAGGCAGGATTGTCACAGTGAGCTTCTCAGTGTGACAGTCTGGCTCAGGAGCCATGGACCAGTACCTCCTGTCAGATCAGCAGCAGCATTCAAGTTAGAAATAAAGTTCACATAAATGTAATGCTCTTAAGTTATCCCGAAACCATCCCTGCACCCCTGGTCTTCCACGAAATCAGTCCCTGGTGCCAAAAAGGTTGGGGACCGCTGATCTAGCTGGGCCTTTTCGTTGAGTCATTTCGGGTGTCAGAATCTTCAGGTCTTTCTTCATGGTGTGGTCATACTCACTGGAGCAGACTCAACTGTTCTGCCCAGAATGTAAAGATCAATTAGCATTATGCTCTGTTCTCCTTGAAGTCTGTGTGAGTTTATATTAATATCTGCTTATACGTGTATCTTTACATACCCAAGTGCCTCATACTTAAAAAATTCTTAATAAATATATGTTGAATGATTATATGAAGATAGGCACCATTATCCTTATTTTATAGTTGAGGAAACTGCCCATGGAGCTTAAATATCTCACCTGATTGATTCCAGCAATCTTTCTCATTTCAGTGCTCAAGCTGTTTCTACATTTAGAAAGAGAGACGCTTTTCATGCTAGTCTGAGCCTCGTTTCAGAGGAGAGGATTGAAACGCAAGATCTCTTAACAGAATAAGTATATCCCACACGTTAACTCTCAAATTTCCATCAGGGTCTAGGCCTCATCTGCAGTGATGTAGTACTAGTGGGGTTAAAAAAAAAAATAACTACTATGATTTTGGCCAACACTTCTTTCAGTTCTACTCCGCCCCCCCCCCGCCCCCCGCCTTTGGAAGAAGAAAATCCTTTGAGTATTTAATTATTTATGACAGAGCTGGATGCCTGCCAGTGAACATGACTTATACATTTGTCAAAACAGTCATATTTATCTCAGCAGTTTTTGTCCTAAAGTGCTTGGCTGATGTCTGTACGTTGCTGTGGTCTATGAAGGCATACACACAAAATTACCTAAGAGTTCTTCTGACAGTCAGCCTCACTCACTCCATTTCCTCCATGCTACTTTGAAAGACCATCTCTTCATTTGTGTTGTTGTGTGGTTATCTAGGTTTTGTTTCTTTTATATTTAACCTTTTGGGAGTTGCTGGACTTCTTGAATTTGCAGGTTAGAGTTTTTCATTACTGCTGGAAAATTCTTAGCCGTTATCTCTTCAGACCTTGGCCATGCTCCAGCTCCTCTCTCATCTCTTTCTGGACCTCTGATTCTTTAATTCGTACATCATTCTCACTGTGTCATCCATGTCTCTTGACCTCTCTTCTCTATTTTCCATCTTTTCATTTCTCTGGCTGAAACTTGGATGATTTCTTTCAGTTTAGCTTTCAGTTCACAAATTCCTTTTTTTTCAGCTGTGACTAACTTGGATATTAAACTAATTTATTGAGTTTTATATTAGCTGTGGTATTTTTCATTTCAGAAAGTTTTATTTGGTTCTTTTTTCAAGTGATTCATTGCCCTTTTTATAGTTCCCTATTTTCTGTTTAAACTTAATAGACCTACTGGTCATATTATTTATTATCCACCTGGTAATTCTTACACCTGAAATCTGCTTTTGCTGCCCAAAGATGCCTGTTGCTGTTTCTGTATCCTGGTATGCTTGATTATCTTTGATTCAATTATTCTTGTATCCTTAAAATTCTCTGTGATAAATTCACTGAACCCTAGAATGATGATATTTTCATCCAGAGAGGATCTGCGTGTGCTTGGGGACTATGTGTTTGGGATTACCTCAGTTCATTCAGCTCAGTTCAGTCGCTCAGTCCTGTACGACTCTTTGCGACCCCATGAATCGCAGCACGCCAGGCCTCCCTGTCCATCACCAACTCCCGGAGTTTACTCAAACTCATGTCCATCGAGTTGGTGATGCCATCCAGCCATCTCATCCTCTGTCGTCCCCTTCTCCTCCCGCCCCCAATCCCTCCCAGCATCAGGGTCTTTTCCAGTGAGTCAGCTCTTCACATGAGGTGGCCAAAGTATTGG